AGAAGAAAACAGTTTTCGCAGCAGAACTAAATACACAAATTGCTAAATTTTTGTCAGCATTTTAGTCTATTTGTACATTAAGCAAGCTGAGTAAGACAAGAAATATAAGAGAGGTAAATGTGTGCTCTTTCTTTGACTCTGTGGACTTATGTGGATTTCATTTCATAATGTTATTTGTTTCATTTCGTTTAAGGTGGCCGAATATTAAATCGATAGTCGAGTGCAATGGGTATCGAAATTTTCAACAAATAATATTTTTACCTGCCGCTCGCCTAACTGAATAAACACCGTTACTAAGAAGTTGGTTGCCCATCGGATTTGGATGCAATCCGAATTCTACAAGTGGCAACTGAGTTATTTACCTGGCCAATGCAGCACAATCTGTTTGCACAAAAATATAAAAGCGGGAGACGTTGGCCGGGTAGTAAGGGATTTTATTTTACATGTACTAAGACAAAGTCACCATTTACGCTGGCAGGCCGCAGTTGTAAATATAAAGGACGTCAATGTGGTAGTGCAGATTGACATGAAGAAAAGCTTTGCCTACTTATACAGGGTGTCCCACGTAAAGTTAGCCAGAGTTTAAAAATATGCCGGAACACGTAATTAAGGCGTGACCACATGAATCTTGCGTACCGTTGTCTGGAGTTTTTCAGAATATTTTTTGTACTCTAAAATAATGTTTAATTCGGTCTGTTTAATTAAATAACCTTTGAAGAAACGAGGATGACTAAAAAGTTTGAATGCGAAAGTTATAGATCGGTTTGCAAAACTTCCAAATAGCTACACACTAAACAAAAATGACCTAAAATAACCTCAAAAACTGGGTAAACCATTTGTCCTCTAGCGCACTATCTTTCCTGGTTTTTTTTTACCACCTAGTATCGAGGTAAAAATTTACTCTCGTGCTAACTGAGTTTTTGAACGTAGGGAGAGTAGTAATTATACTCCAGTGAGGTTTTGAGCAAGTATAGAGTAAATTTTTACTGCCTTCACAAGGTTTTTGACGTGATTTGTGGGAGTTATTTCCGGTGGTAAAAAATAAAAATTGACTGGTGCATTCGCCCAGGGTCGACAAATTTATTAAATAGCAGAATTTATTGAATTTATTAAACATCACAATTGGTGACACATAGATTCACATGCAGACAAACAAGCACACACAACAAATGCAGAATAATACAACACTTAAACAGACTGCACGCGTTGCTCGACTACACTTCGACAATCAGGTATATATAGGTCCGACTTTTTGACCGGCCCTGTGGTACCGGTAGGGAAGCTCTTTCTTGCATTGAGTAACAACAACGGTTGAAGGCGCAAGCGTAAACGTAACGTGGGCTGCAAGGCACTAAATATTACACCGACCTTTTATGAAAAATCTACCCGATCTCACCTTCTTGATTATCCAATAATTACTTGGCACACCGGGCTCGTGGCCCCACGCGTGTTAGCACTACTGATGCACAAGTCCATAAAATATACCAAATACGCACAAACCACGGTAGCTCAATGATTTTCATAGAGCGACGGTTCACAAACACAGTAGCAGCACGTATTCCTCACAACGTGCGTAAAAGAGCGGTCCACGCTTGCGTACAAGCTGCTTACCGACGGCGTGCTAGGCCTTTTCGAGGAGCACGGCTATCCGATGAAACACAGCTGGCGATCACAGAACACACATCCTGTGCGAATTTCGTCGTCATTTTAGACACAAATGAACACGTGACCGCTATCTTAAGGGGACGGGGCGGTGTATATATGCTTACAACGTAAGACTACCGTCCGGGTTTTCGTGCTCACCCGCAGCCGCTTGTTGGTTCCGTCTGCCTCTTATCGGCTTCGTGCTACATGTTTGAGAACAGTTGGTGCATTAGGCGGGTAATTCGGGCAGCACTTTACTCATGCAGACATCGCCTACTGTGGAACAAAATATATGCGATGCTGCTTTCACCTGCCCTGGCGACGCACTCCCACTGGTCCCTGGCGGCCGCGGCTCGGTGTCGACGACAGAGTGAAGCATTTTGCTTATTGCTTCTCCAGTAGGCAAGCACGGACGATGACACCAGATTGATTTTGTTACCACTGGCATATCATCGCGATTCGGCTCGGAAGCGAGATATCCGCGATGTGCACGTTCGGAGGTGCCCAGAAGCGCACGGTTGCTTGATGATGTAGAAAACACGTGGCATCCATCAGCCCAACCAGAATCACAGATATCGAGCTTCTTGCACCGTCTGTCTCCAAGGCCACCGCCGAGCAAAAGCCAACAGTTTGCGAAAATATGCAGGACAACTTTCCACAACAGGTTTTCTTTCTTGTTTTTTTCTTTTTTGAGAGCCCTCCCTCCCCCCCCCCCCCGCCTTTCTTTTTTCGTTCACAGAATGCTGTTCTCGCTTGTTGTGCTTATGCTGCCCCCAGTTCCAGTAAAAGTGCGTTGACTCGAGGTCAGTCCTGAGGCACGGCGATGTAAAAAAAAAAACATCTGTGGTCCTCGCGCACCTTCCGGATTCACTGAGAGTGTTACAAGGGGGGTATAGGGCAAAAGCCGCCGAAGCAACTGCACCTTGCAGTCACGTGGTAATAAACTCTGAACGCAGGTTAAAAATCACGTGATAGAAAACTCCCTGCGTAGTAAAACTGGATTTCGACATCCTTTTACTACTTGCCTGAGAAGTGATGGTAAAACTATGTCATGTAGCATTTTTTTACTCCTAAACGAGGAAGTAATTTTAAACGCGAGAGAGTTTTCAGAGGTCATGAGCCGCAAAAACCCCAAACTCGGATAGTTTTGGCTTACAGTGTAGTTTTGATTTTTATATCTGTCAAGTATTAGTGTTTTATGCTATTAGAAATGCCAGCGAATCACAACAAAATACCACGTGACAAACAAGCTCGCGCGTTAGTGCACACGATGATTCTAGTGCTCTCTAACGTTTGGCGTACTAATGACATGTTTCCATCGCACTGGCTCATGACAGTGATAAGCTGTCACAGCGGTTATCGTTTTTGCGGCCGATAGCAAAGCATGTTCATTGTAAAGCCACCGCCATCGTTGCGGCCCTGCCGAGACAGCACAATAGGGCAAATGATATGGTCGTTCGCACGTGGAACGTTATGGAGCACTAGAATCATTGAGCGCACGGCCGCACGAGTGGGTTTGTAACGTGGTATTTTTTTGTGATTCGCAGGAATTTCAATTGGCATAAAAACTAATATCTAACAGATATAAAGTTCAAAACTGTCTGATCGAATTTTTCGCAAACCGATCTACAACTTTCTAATTGAAAATTTTTATGTATCTTCGTTTCTTGAAAAGTTAAGTAAATAAACATATCTAACTAAACGATCATTGAGAACACGAAAAATAGCCTGACCAAATCCAGGCAACGTTGAGCAATGTGCATTTGGTCGTGTCGTGATCGCGTGTGCGGGCATATTTTTAAAATCTGGCTAAAGTTACCTAGGACACCCTGTGTACTGGTATCTTAACGGCACTGAGGCTGCACAATCACCAAGCCTAGCTCTCAAGTATGAATGCGCACGACGGATCCCAAGAAATTCACCTGAGGATTTACCACCTCAACTGTTGAACGATCACTATTTTATTCAGTTGAAAGACGAGCAATCAGCAACTTTTTCTGAAAATTCTTTCTGCCAAGGATAATCAATGCAACAAAAAATAGAATAACAGCTATTAATTTCGGTAATAAGACAACTTTGGTTTATTTTGTACGTAGAACTAGTGCGAGAACTTTGTGGTTTTTGAAAAGGGGGGCGGGGGTGACATTGTTTTGTGAAGAGATATACATAAAGATGCGCCTATTCATCATGAAACATTAGGAAGGTCTGTCAAACAACTGTGTGCAGTTCGTGAGCAGGCATAAAAAAGCTGTCAGTCTGTCAGCCGACGTCAGGTAAGTACACTGAGCAAGTTAAAAATGAATAATTTCATTGATGAAATGTTGCTTGCTTGCAATAGGATGTCTCCTGGTTTTCTTATAAGGTATAATCGTCCAAATTTGGCAATTTTCTTGGCTTAGGCGATTGATCAATCCACGTGAAATGTATATATATATATATATATATATATATATATATATATATATATATATATATATATATATATATATATATATATATATATTTATTTATATATATATATGTGACGTATAAAGTGATGGTTTGTAGAAGCTGAGAAGGAAGAAGTGAGATGGAATAAACTTGGGGTATGCGCCAGGCCACGTCTACCAGTCATCATAGCGTCGCATATATATATATATATATATATATATATATATATATATATATATATATATATATATATATATATATATATATATATATATATATATATATATATATATATATATATATATATATATATATATATATATATATAATTAGGATTACACGACGCCAAGAAGACACATGTATATACATCTAATACCAAAATAAAAGGTCGTAAAAGCCATATTCTGGCGAGCTTGAATAACCGTAAAATAAGATAATATAACCTCACAATCGGAGCGCTGTGAGCACTCTGTGCATTTGTAAGATTTTAGTTTTTTATACAAGAAAATGAAATTAGAACAAAACGGAAATAAATGAGCTTTTATTTTTCAAAATCAGAAAATAAGATCTGAAATTAGGCATCCTCGGTGTAGTTCCTATAATGACTTCACAATTCCCATGATAACCTTATGATCAAATAGTTTATCACTATTTGTTGCTAATAATGCACAAAAGCAAATATAATTTGGGGGAGAAAGACATCTTTGCAAAGAACAATAATTGATTCATGATTTTCTGGTTGCCTTTATAAGTGCCATGGAATAATACAGGAAGCGTTCTGTACCATTTCGCGATGTTTTGTCTGACACATGTCATAAGAGGACCACGTCCAAAGAATAATTTTAGCAATCTATATTTAACGGCAATGCGTATAGATAGTGTACGTATGTGTTCCCTGTTTTATCCTGTGTGTCTATACATATAGCTTCTCTTTTTTTTTTTACTACAGTAACAAAACTTGCAGCCGTAACCTTTACAAAATGAGGTTTCTGGCTGCAAAAATTCCGAAATAACATTTATTCTCGTAGCAACTGGTTAAAAAACGACAAAGCCGCCTGCGCGTTTCTTTTTCTGTGCTAATATGTTTGAGCTGTGCGGTCTTCCACGTCGTAGCATTTATCACACAATTACAAAGTCATGATGCTTCGTCAGTGCATCCGTAGCTATTGCTTCTTCGATAGAAGACCCTTTCCAATACTCAATGTTGACTTCGATTTTGTCGAAGTGGTATCATCAGTATCCTGTTTTTTCGACGTTCCTAGCAGACTTCCGACCCCAGTTCCTCCTTCAGATGTGGTGGTGTCTTCAGTATCCTGCTTCTTGATCGTTCCTAGCAGATTTCCAACCCCCGTTCCTCCTTTAGAAGCGGACTCTTGGGTTGGAATTAGTCTCTTTGGCTGCCCCGATTCTCCGGAAGAAGGTTCGGATTTAACACAGGTCCCACTTCTGCAGATCCTTTTAGTGTTGTTCACGGTTATGAGCTGTCATTTGAAAAGAAAAACACATTGTTAAACGCAGCAGAAATATTTCAAAGAGCTTAAAGCGGATATTTCTCTTAGCGCAAATATCCAGACAGCAAATACGTTTTACTCGATTTATTTGGTTCGGCAAGCTATTCATTCTTATTTACCGAGACGTCACTTATTATCAGTGTCTTTTCCTGTTAGCCTTCTTCACTTAAGTGGGACAACACCACTCAGTCATTCATTCAATCCAGGTGGCCTCCCCTACACGACACTTCAAAAGCACTGTGGTAAAGGAGTACATCCAGATAAACAGACGCATACAGCATTGCGCTTTTGCAAGCCGGTAATCGTCACCTCACAGAGAATTTCTATGTTCCCAAACTATGACTTAAGGTATGACGCCCATAAATAGAAAATAACAGCGTAGCTGTAGGTGCACTCGTATTCTGGTTTGTTGTTGTTAAAATGCTTCTTGAGTTGACTTCTTGCTGCAGTCGGTTGCATGTTCAATTCCTAAGCTATGCACCCATGACCTAAACTAAAAGTTGGCGTTTAGGTAATCTTTTGTTTTGAAGACAACATCAGGAAATTAGGACGGAAATATAATCGGAATGATGGAGTAGTTGGCTAGCTACGCTGTTACATCATTATCGTCAACACAAGCATCAATAGCCAGTTAGCAAGCAAGCTCAATTTTCAGTTTTATTAGCATTAGGGAAGCATGATAAGAAGAATATGCTGAAGAAACATTTTTCCACAACTCGGAAAAACTGTTTCGAAGCGAATACAACTTGCGTTTGCTGAATGAATCAATAAACTTTACTTATAGTTCAAATTTCATTAGGCTGCATCTTCAAATGTTGATGGGTGATAATTTCTATTCCTAGAGGCCTTTACTGACATTTTAAAATCAATTGCATAGGAGCTTACTAAAAAACTCACCCCACAAGCGATACCTTCAGGCTCGAACTGGATGCGGAGTGGCCAGCCTTTGCAGATGTACCAACATTTTCCGCGCGAGTTCTTTGCCCACTGAACAAAACGGAACAGGAAAGAAATCTCTAATGTACTATTTATTTGATATAGAGCAGAATAGCAAAATTCAACAATGAAAGACTACTACTTGTACCTCAAATCTCTCTGGCGAGGAGTCACTGTTATAGACGATGAAAGTACAGAGGCAGTAACAAATTGTAACGGCCCTGATCGAGGCCTGTTGCAGTATCAAAAGAAATGAGTCCTAAAAGGCCCGTGCACACACACACACATACACACACACACACACACACACACATGCACACAAACACGCACACACGCACACACACACACACACACACACACACACACACACGCACATCAAAACAGGGTGTCACACGTAATTTTAGGCAGAGTTTCAAAATATGTTCAAACGTGTAGTTGAGACGCGAGCAAATGCATATTGCTCACTACCGGCTGGAGTTGGACTATTTTCTGTGTCATCAAATATTGTTTGAGTAGATCTGTTCAATTAACTAGCTTTTAAAGGAACAAAAATGGATAAAATATTTCAGTGAGGAAGTTATAGATCGGCTAACAGAACGTTTAAATAGATAGTTTTGAACTCTATATCTGTTAAGTATTTGTGTTTTTCTGCTAATTACAAATGCCCACGAAATACAAAAACAGATCACGGGACAAACCCGCTCGAGCGTCAGTACGCACGATTATTCTAGTGCTCACTAACGTTCCACGTATGAACGACACGCTTCCGTCACACCGGTTCATGACAGCGATCAGCAGTCACATCACTTATTGTTTTTTTGCCTGTAGCAAAAACTTTTTCATCGTAAAGCGACCACCATCATTGCGGCCCTACCGAGGCAGCACAGTGGGGAAAATTCTATTGTCGTTCGTACGCGGAACGTTAGGAAGCACTACAATCATTGTGTTTACTGGTACACGAGCTTGTTTGCCACGTGGTAAATTTTGTATTTCGCAGGCATTTGTAATTAGCAGAAAAACACAAATACCTAAAAAAGTTCAAAACTGTCTAATCGTACGTTTTGCAAACGGATCTGTATTTTTCTTATTGATATTTTTATCTGTAAATATTTTTATCTGTAAAAATTGGATACTTTTTTACTCTACGTTTTGGCCGTGGCGCGGCCTTCGTCAGGATGAACAGAAATAGGAGTACGTGGCCGCTTTTATGGGCAGGCATAACCACATGAGTACGAAACACGTGCGATCAGCATATGATTGTCACAAAATTTTCAAAACAGCCATGACTGCACTAAAAACCATTATAAATCTAATATAATAGACAATCTTATGGGCATGTAAAAAGGCATTTGTAATATTCACCATTGACGGCGATGATCACGTATGAAAAGCAAAAAATATATGTGAGAACCTTCAGAAAGTAGAGAATACGTTAGGGATGCTTCTTTAAATATTTCCCAAAAATGCGGACGTCAGGACATCGTAGAATGGCGTGACCCTTTGCCTACGCATTCGTTAATGCTGGATAACATAATATTGAATTTGTGAATCAAGAACGATTCTCGAATTTCCCGATCATAGTGGGCTTTAAAGGCTGATTCTAACAGCGTCACCATAATCTTGTCAGTATAATGAACTGGTAGATGAAAATGCTTGGACATTAGGAGATGTGGTAAACTGTTCACGTGTAATTTGTGGTTGTTGAAACTGATGCGAACGGATGTCTCGGTTTGACCGAGGTATTGCATGTGGCATATTGAGCATTCAAGTAAGTAAATTATGTTGCTGCCATCCCAGTTCAAGTCCCCTTCATTCTTAAGTGAAAAACTAGGAGCCGTGCTTTTAGCAACAGTCGCAGTGGTCATGTGCGCACAAACTTTACATCGCGGTTTTTTCGAGGGGTGACTACCAACAGGCGCAATGAATCTAGTCTAGGAAGAAGTTACCATGCCACGCAAGTTCCTTGATCTCCGATATACAACTCATCGTGATTCAGTGAAGATGTCTTTAAGCCAATTTCTCTGTGTCAATAAGTCGTAATGCTTTCTGAGTATAGGCGACACGTCAGGAATAGATGCAGAATGCGTTACAACAAGGCTGGTTCGGGAAGGTGGCGCTAATCGCTTGTTCTTACTGATAAGCTTTTAACGATTGAGACAATTGACCCGCTGGAGAGGGTCATCGATTATTTGTGAAGGATATTGTTGTTCGGTTAATGCTTTACGGAGCTGGTCACAGTTGCGAGTGAATTCGCTGTTGTCCGAACAAATTCTTTTAAAACGAATAGCTTTACTAGGGGGAAACTTGTTTTCCAGAGTTTGACATGGCTGCTTTTAAAATGAGGATATCTTTGTCGGTCATTAGCCTTCCTGTAAAGGTTCATCGTTGATTTACCATTGCTTAAACCTATATTGACGTCGAGAAAGTTTATGGCGACTGGAGATGGACGGATCTATGGTGGTAATGTCAGCAATGAAAGAATGTATTGCCGCTTCACCGTAGTGCCAAATTAAGAAAAGTTTGTCTTCAAGCGCCTCTAATAAAGTGGTTTAAGGTCACGAGTGGCGAGAAAGTTATTTTAAAGAATACCTTAATATATATATATATATATATATATATATATATATATATATATATATATATATATATTTATGATTGAGACAAAGAGACAACTCCCATTATTTACTTCTCCCCTTACCGCTCGCCTTGTTCATTCTAGTGCAGCAGCAACGACCCTGCTTCCTTACACTTGGCTTTGCTGCGACACTGCAAGGCTAGCGGCGAAATCGCCTCTGGAGGCCGGCATTAGCTGCTGCGTGTCAGTCGGTAACGGTCGTCATAGAGAGGCTTGGCTTGATGATCTGTCAAGGATGCTTTTGGTGGTCGGCATAAGCTGTTGGCTTGGACGGTCTTCCCTACGCTGCAGCTTGCCAGAATGTTCTTGCAGGGATATCTCTGGGGGGCATCATTGACTATGCCGTGGTGGTCATACTTGAGTATGCGGTGACTTGTCTGGCCGAGTTGCCGAACATTCAGGGGAGACACACTGGCTGCACCAGAGTGTCCCACCAATACCAGCTTACGCTTGTCCTGTCGATCGGCGATAATTGCCTGCTGAGTGATTGGCGACACACATGGCCTAGGATAAATACAAAGCCGTCTGCTGAACAATTCGGTGCGTCTCCGCACTAGTGCGTCCGCCTTCGAACCATCGTTCAAGGAGTTTGTACGTGTGTAGTTCTTGTTTCCTTTGGGGTCTTCTCGGAGGCTTAAGAGGCGGACGTCCACGCACTCGTCCAATGACTAGGATGCGCGTGTAATCCGTGGGTGTGGCTCCGACATGGGAGCGCTCAACTTTCTGGCTTTGTCTGACTGGTCTACATTATGTTCTGTTGGAGTGCCTTGTACCGAAGCAGTCAGTGCCTTCATGTGTTCAAGGGTTGATCAGCGTAAGAGCAGCCTCTCTGACTCATGTTGGTGGAAAACGCTCTCAGTCACTGGAGGTTTGGCGGTGGTGTCACATAACGTGCACACTCAGAAGTCAGCAGTGGTGCACAGAATTTGGAGAGAGTTTCACCGGCAGGCAAGCCTACGATATTTTCTGCCGAGGAGTCATAGCGCCCAGCTGGTAAGCCGGGACGGGAGTTGTCTTGACCTGCCCATCACCACCAGCAAAGCCGCAAGCCGGGATGATCCCTGAAGGAGTAATGCTGGCTTGATGTGTTTGCGGTGCATTGCAAGCTTCGCCGAAGGCGCGGTGAGCAGATTCCGTGAAAACAGGAGTGCCTTCCATTACGATGCATTCGGCCGCAATGGAGATATTGAGCGAAACACTTGCACACTCGGCCATTGACTGCCGTGCAGTTGCTGCATGTGTCTCCAGCTGCTCACTGAGGTTTCTCTTGTTCTTGTACATTCATGGTTGCTGTCTTTCTATTGGGTAGTTTGAGGCCGAGAAAGTGCTCGGAGTTGGAGTGGAGCACTACGCAGCCGCCGTCAATGATGAGGTGAACGTTACCAGACAAAAGGTAGTCAGCTTCAAAAATATGCCTGCGTGCAAATCATAGAACACAGGAACGGCCGCAAGGACCTTGCTCCCAGCTTCGGTCAGTATATGCAACCCAAGTGCTTCGACCATCCAAGCGTTCCCGCCCAGGCCACACAAGGATGCCTAAGACCAATGCTGGAGGGCGACTAAAGCATATGGCGAGGCAGAACAGATTGTGGGGCTCATATCTACACCGCAACCATGGCTCACTGATTCTGTCGACGCGGACCTGCACCGTTGGAAGAGGCCACGTTTGGTTTTCATTGGCACGATATTGTGCATGTGTTGGTATTACACTCTAAGGCAAAATTACCCGAAATAGGGGTAATGGAGCCCAATATTAGACAATCCTGCATTAGACAATCTAATAATTACGGCGTGATGGTTATGCGTACGTTTAGGTTAGCGTGGGCGCTTGCTTTTACGTTTCGCCGCATCGATGAAGACTGAAGCAAGTCTCAACACGCCACCATGCCAGGCTGTATATCTCTGGCTTCAACATAGTCACAAGCAACACACGACAGCAACAGTTGGGAAGGCCAACAAGGCGGCCGAGATGACAGCAGGCGTATCGGTTATATACTTCAGTCCAACTCAGGGCAGAAATCATCGCTGGATTCTTTCGCAAGTAGGTTATCATTCTTTATTCTACTCTACTTGTCGCATGTGCGATACGGATTGCGCTTGCCGGCAACGGGCTTGGTCGTGTTGTATATCGCACACACGAAATGCACCGCGAAGATCAGCTTGAGCGTCAGCAGTTCGCCTCTGCTTTGCCACCGCCTGGAAATTGGCTGCCATTGCCGTCGGCCTCCCGTACGCTCACTCATCCAGTGCTCGCCTGTCTTCGCTACCGCGATGAGCTCCGGGCTGACGATATTGGGCTGAGACCTCGTCGCTGTGCTGGGAGTCGTCGAAAACACGTTGCGGGTTCTACAAACGAGCTTAGTTTTAGTATGTCGCGCGCTCTAAGGCACCAGCAAGGGCTGGCGGGGCTTTCCCT